AGAGACAACATGTTTTCAGTCAAGGCCGTCACACTCATCTGCCACTTCAATTATTAATTTTTTTCCACTTCAATTTTGCAATATATATTTTAAACTCTAGGATGCAACTCCTTCTACAGGTGTGGTTTCTCAGCAATTTTTAATTTCTTCAGGGAAAGAAATTAAAGGGAGATTAAACAGTATTTCGTGGATCTGGAATAACAAAGTTTTGTATTTCATATCTGCCTTTAGAAATTTATTAAGTTAAAAAATGAGGTGTCTTTCAGCTGTATACCCATTTAGCCTGCTTGCAGAATGCTAGAGCAGCTTTTAGTTGTATTCAATATAATGCCTTTGTTAGCTTTTTTGGGGAGAAAAGATATAAAAAAAACATATACTTATCACAAAATGGCAATTACAGCTCATTGGTAATATGGATAATTGCACACAATGTGCTATTTCTTGCATAGAAAAACTCATACACATATATAATTCCATGTCAAGATAAAAGTATATGGAAGCCAGAGAACAGCAGTATCTATTTATTTTTTACTTTTCAGTAAAAGTATTTCTTTTCAGTCAAGGGAAATTGTTTTATCTTACCTTCTTCTGGGACTTCTGTTTTCAATTTCTGGGTCTAATACCAGCATCTAAGTTTCCAAATGGTCTTAGCTAAGTGCTAACCAAGAACAGCACTGATTAGCTTCCAAACTCAACCAATATCAGCCAGATATATTACCAAAAAAAGATAGATTCTTTACCACCTGAATGACTGGTTGTTATGTATATGTTCAACCTGTCTAAAGGTAAAAAAATATTTGTAGTAATTAAGAGTCATTGGGGCAGCCCTAGTTGATAATGTTATCATTTGATGATGTTATTATTTCTAATTGTATGCTATGAGTACGTGCACATTTTACGTGTGTGTGATTTGACTACAACTGAAACGAGATGAAGCTACATTAATTTAGGCATGAGACTGGGGAGGGTTAGCTTTACTGATTACTGCCAACTTAAATTCAGTGAAATGCAGAAGAATATCTCTGTGTTCTACCTTCTATCTTTAAATATAGTAGATAGGCTAAATAATTATATATGTAGCGCAAACAAATGGGCTGAAAAACTATAAATTTAAAACTTCAAAAACCATTGCAAATACTGATGGATAGACAAATAGGAACAGACTTGGAGGAGGTACCTGGTAGTACATTGGCAGGATATAAAAGTTTAGACGACCAGTTATGTAAAAGCCAACTGAAGCTGGCAGTGCTAGAGAAAAAGCAAGAGGAAGAAGAGGAAGAAGAAGAAAGAGAAGCAGAAGAAGCAGAAGCAGAAGCAGAAGCAGAAGCAGAAGAAGAAGAAGAAGAAGAAGAAGAAGAAGAAGAAGAAGAAGAAGAGCAATTCAAGAATAAATCAGCATCACTATATTTGCCACACAAACTGCTCTAATAACTCTTCATGATGTCATTCCCTGTCAAGACTTTATCAACATTGCAAAAAAAAAAAAAAAGTTTAAGGGGAATATCTTGGCAATTATGGCTTCTGTGTGCCTTGCCACAAATAGGCTCATTAAGACTTTGCTTGCTTGATTTTCCCTCTGTGTCTTGGTCAGACTGCAATTTATTCATTTATTTGACCTATAGCTTATTTCTACAGAAATATGAACTAGTCTTTTGATTAGAAAATGTAAATAAATAAATACATAGTGGTTAACAGAAATATACTATTTATTCTTGTTCTCTATTAAAGGCCTTTCTTCACTTATGGTAATACCTGTGACACAAACATTTAACAGATTAACAGAGTTGGAAGGGACCTTATAGGTCATCTAGTCCAACACACACACACACACACGGTCAAGCAGGAGACCCTATACCATTTCTGACAAATGGCAGTCCAATCTTTTCTTGAAAGTCTCAAGTGATGAAGCTCCCACAACTTCTGAAGGCAAGCTGTTCCATTGGTTGCTTGTTCTCACTGTCAGAAAGTTCCTCCTCATTTCTAGGTTGAATCTCTCCTTGGTTAGTTTCCATCCATTATTCCTTGTCTGGCCTTCAAGTGCTTTGGAAAACAGTTTGACCCCCTCCTCTCAAATATTGGAACACCGCTATCATGTTTCCTTCTGGCATCTGGTTTCAGCTATGTGGCCATGATATTGCCTTCACCTGATCCCTAGGCCTACAAGTGAGACAGCCTTAAGTTATCTACAGGTTTTTTTTTTTTAAAAAAAAAACTTTTTATTTCTAATTGACTGAATAATTAATTTATTGTATAAACAATTGTTTCTATAAAGAGAAAAAAACTAAGTGTGCAGTGCTAGAAGGAGTGATACATACAAATGATATGAATAAATACAAAATAGAAAGGTACAACTGTCATAAAAACTCTGAAAGTTATTCATAATTTCTATATATCATGAATGATGATAAGATTACAACTGTTTTTTACTAATATAATGGATATGATTGACCCAATATAGGACACTTGCTTCTGAAAGCCGCTGGGTGAGATCATCCGTGGTTTTGGGGTGGAGTTCCATCATTACGCTGATGATACTCAGCTGTACATTTCCACCCCAGACCATCCCAATGATGCCTTGGAAGTGATGTCCCAGTGCCTGGAGGCCGTGCGGGTCTGGATGGGGAGAAACAGGCTTCGACTCAACCCTTCCAAGACCGAGTGGCTGTGGCTGCCAGCGTCCCGGTATAGCCAGCTGATGCCATCGCTGGTTATTGGGGGCGAATCATTGGCCCCCACGGAGAGGGCCCGCAACTTGGGTGTCCTCCTGGATGCGCGGCTGTCTTTAGAAGGGCATATGACAGCCGTGGCCAGGGGGGCTTTTTGTCAGGTTCGCCTGATATGCCAGTTGCGCCCCTTTCTGGACTGGGACTCCCTACGCACGGTCACTCAAGCACTCGTCACTTCTCGTCTGGACTATTGTAACGCTCTCTACATGGGACTCCCCTTGGGGTACACCCGGAGGCTCCAACTGGTGCAGAATGAGGCTGCACGGGGGATTATGGGAGCGACGGGGCGCTCCCATGTGACTCCTCTCCTGCGCGAGCTGCATTGGCTTCCGGTGGACTTCCGGGTGCACTTCAAGGTGTTGGTAATCACCTTTAAAGCGCTCCATGGCTTAGGGCCAGGGTACTTACGGGATCGCCTTCTGCCACCAATAGCCTCCCACCAGCCGGTTCGCTCCCACAGAGAGGGCCTCCTCAGGGTGCCGTCGGCCAGACAATGCCGGCTGACGACCCCCAGGAGGAGAGCCTTCTCTGTGGTGGCACCTACCCTATGGAACAATCTACCCCCAGAGATATGAGTGATCTCCGACCTCCGGATTTTTCGTCGGGCCCTAAAAACTTATTTTTTTCAGCTAGCCGGTCTGTCCTGATTTTAGGGTTAGTTTTAAAATTTTAATATTTATTTTAATTGACAAGTTTTAAATTATGGGCCAAATTTATAAATTATTTTAACTTTATTTTTTAACTGTGATGTTTGTATAGATGTTTTTTATCTGGCTGTTCACCGCCCTGAGTCCGAAAGGAGAAGGGCGGTATAGAAATTCGAATAAATGAAAATGAAAATGAAAGTCCATTTTTCTAAATCTGTCAGTAATAAAATACTGCTTTTTTATAAAGCAGTTGAGAAAGCTTTTTCAAAACAAATTTATTGTTTGATTGTCAAGAAATTTCCAAAATTGTGCAATGATTAATTTTGCTACCAAAATTAAATAGACAATTGGCTCTTTATTTTTAAGCTGATCCTGTGAATAGATGCAACAAGGCTATTATTTATTCCAATTTGTCCAAGGTTACTCTCAAAATTTATGAGAGCTGTTATACCCTGTTACCTTGGGAGTCATTTAGGTGACTGCAATGATTTGAAACAGAGGGAAAAGAGGCTGAATAAGGGACAGCAATGAGGACAGCAAATTCATGTTGATACAGTTTTCTGGGATTCAAGGCTGGATTAAAAAAAATTAATTCAGTACTGAGTAAATCCTAGGTTGGATCCGCAAGTGGACCATAATTGAAGCTTTTGTATGTGCCTATGAAACTGAGATGGTGCCATTGTGGTTAAAGTGCTGGATTAGAAATGAAATTCAAATGGAGATCACTGAGCCTAGGACTCTAGAAAGTAGCTCAGGAGGTCTTAGCCTATTTATTGTGAGTGACATTTCCATTCAATTTCTTCTGCATTCCTGCAAGCTGGCTCACTTTTCAAATAATTCTTCACCCTAGAATGAAGGTCAAGCAGTGAAAGGTACTCCAAAGTAGCCATTGAGGCATTTGATAATGAGAAGGCATAATAAGATTCCTATGCCGTCTTCCTTTCATGGAGGAAGGCTGTTTTAATTATTTCTGCCACCTGGTGGATTAAAGTTTTGGCTATGGCCTTTGATGGGAAAGCTTTTCCAGCCAAAATACACAAGGAAAGAATACAGAAAGCCCAGGATTTCTTTTATCTAGTTGTAATAATCTATAGATTATTATACAGTGTGGTATATATTCAAAAATTATAAAAATGATTTGCGATTTTGTTCATACTTAAAGTAAGTATGCATCAAATTCCATTATATACGATGTAAATATATCTAACAATCCCATTCAGGTTTAACAGACATTCTGCTTTAATGGACACACCTTCTCCATTAATCTGTTAATTCAAGTTTCAGAATTACATGTTCATATATGCATATGTATGCACATAACCAACTGGAATTATACTTTAAATTACCCCAGAGAGTGCTTGAGATATTTAGTTTAACTTTCCTTTTTTTTTTTTTTGTAATAATTTTATTGAAGTTTACAAGTATAAAGATAAAAAATACAAACTACAGAAAATAATAAAAATAAAGAAAAAATAAATACAAAAAGATTTTAAAAATGAAAAGAAGCTATATAAAAAATGACTACTTCTCTTCTAGACAAATATAAACTATTTCAGTAAATTAATATCTCTATCATTTCAATAATAAAAATATCTCATTCCTTATCAATAATAAAATTACAAAAAAATTATCAGTTCTAATCAGCAAAAGTTTATTAAGGGTTGTCAGAAATCATAACATACTGTATTTTTCGGAGTATAAGACGCACCAGAGTATAAGACGCACCTTAGTTTTTGGGAAGGAAAATAAGAAAAAAGCTAATTGGCAGGTGGATCGGCCTCCTGGAATACCCCGAATCAGTTGTTCCCAGATGTGAATTTTAGCAAAAGGTTTCTTGGTTTTGAACTCTGTGGCTTGCTTTTTTTTTTTTTTTTTTGGCTTTTTTTTCTGCCTCTGAACTTCTGAAACCCCATTTCAGAAAAAAACTTTTCCTGCCTCTGAAAGCCTATGAAACAGAACTTTAGAAAAAAAGCCTCTGAAGCACTGTTTGGGGGCTTCTTTTCTGAAGCTCTCTTTGGGGGCTTTTTTTTTTTCCCTGAAGCTCTGTTTGGAGGCTTTTTTTCTGAAGCTCTGTTTGGGGGCTCCTTTTCTGAAGCTTCATTTCTGGTGCTTTTTTCAGCTTCTGAAACCTCCATTTGAGAACCTGGGTGGGGCTACATTCGGACTATAAGACGCACCCAGATTTTCACCCTCTTTTTTGGGGGAAAAAGGTGTATCTTATACTCCGAAAAATATGGTATATTTTAGTCTTAATCAAATATATCTATATTGCTTTCTCTAAAAAATAAAGAAAATTAATTTTTCCACACCAATCTTTAAAGTCTTATCACTCAGTCCTAGTCAAAAAGAAATCCCATTGATATCTACCAGAAACCACAACTTGTTTATGAAATAAATTCACTTTATAAATCTTCTGTTTTATTTTAAACAGCTTGATCTTTAATCAATCAAATAATGCCCCACAAGTTAATATCTTATCATTTTCTCTTTGCCTCCTTGAAGGAACAACTTCAATAATATCTCTTTTTCTTCTCTCAGGAACAACTTCATTAGTTTAACACCTTTCTTTTGTAAATCCAAGATGAGAGGGCTTTCCAAGTTGCGCTTTATTCTTTGTTTGGTACCTTTAATTATTAAGACATCAACTGGTTTCATTTGTAAATCCATTTTAGCATCTTTTTCTATATCACATTTACAGTCTGACATTTTTAAATACATTTTCAAATCTTCAGCATCTTTTTTCATATTACTTTTGTAAACCAGAATTTAAAAAAAATAAATAAATCCAAATTCACATTCACATCAGACTCAATATCTGTTTATCTAATAATATCTGTTGTTCTACTATACCCTTCATTATAGTATCACACAATCTTGTAAGTAATTTCTGAGGACATAGTTCCCAAACAGCCTTTCTTCTTTAGTCAAATAGTATTGACCATTGTATTAATGGGTCATTTCTCTTTTAATCATATTTGTTTGTTCTCTCTTGTTCCCTTTAGTCAACCTTCAAATCTCCTTTTATCTTTTGTTTATTTTCCAAATCAAAAAAAATTCCCATAGGAGATTTACGTACAGTTAATTTCAAAGTCATTATATATTTTTTGTAAAAATTTTAACACCTTACAGGTATATCCTTTCAAGTTCTTCTAACCCTTAACTTTCCAAAATCAACAGTCTAATCTCCCTTTTGCTGTTTTCCAAAGATTAAAGCTTTCCTTGTTAATCCTTAAACTAACTTTTATCTGGGTAAAAGGTGAATCTCCCAATACAGCTTGTTTTGCCAAAGGTTCTTAACATCTAGAAACACTCATTAACAAGCAATTTGTAGATAGAAGAGCAGACAAACCCAGTATCCTTTTGAAGGTGCCAAACCAAAACTTAGACTGGATGTTTCCTGCTCTGGCTACCAGAGCTCCCAAACCAGCTGGAAATTGCCATTTTACGTTCTCTTCACAGGGAGTTTCTGACTAGAACAAGCTGTGGTGATCACTGTCCTTTCCTTGATTTAGAAAGGAGTTCTGAGTAGTCAGTATATCATCTCTTTTTGGCATGGTGGTCTACAATGGTCTTTCAGAGTCCTCTTCAGTCGACCATTGCTCAGAGTCACCTAAACCACAAGATGGATGCAAAGAAATTTGCTAAATAAAAAATAAATTGCTTTCCAGGAAATCCTTAGATTTAATTTTCCAGTTATCTTTAGTTCATCTTACTCTTTATTGTTTTACCCTTTAACTGTTTCTTGGACCACTTTTTCACTTTCTTCTTCTGTTATTGCCAGTCATGGCTTTTTGTCCTTTTCATCTCTTATCAGAATATCACATTTCAAGGATTATTCAAAGTATTTGGTTATAGTTAGTGTTTGGTCAGGGTGGGGAGTGAGGTGGAGATGGCCAAAAAATGATAAATGGTTTTCATCCTTACAGAAGAAATGTATAACATGTATCCTTGGGGCTTCACACAGTCTTCCTTTTTCCATTTTGTTACAATTCTCTTTAAAAAAAAGTTACTATAAATTCCAATTTTTAATGTGCTGAAACACAGAATGGGTAATTGAATTAGCTAGCTTGAATAACCCATTCAAGCATTATACGTCTTTTACAATGTAAATAAAACATCTCATGGAATCTTTATATTTAATGGGATGCTGTTGAATATCCAAGTGAATTAAATTAAGACAAATGTAGATTTTACTTTAGCCCTGCCAGATTAACCAAATCTTATATCCTTTTAGGAGTAAGGCCTCCTGCATGTGACTCAAAGGCCCAGAATAACTCTAGACCATGGGTGTCAAACTCGATTGCATCACGTGACGTATCATGATGTATCATGACTTTTTTTGTCTTTGTGGAGCCAGGATAAGTGTAGCCTGTGCATCTGGCCCACGGGCTGCCAGTTTGATCCCCTTGCTCTAGATTCAAATCAGGTTCCTATCTTTACTTTGGCTACATTGAGAAACATTCTTTTGTTCCCTTGCCCTTGCTATATTCATAGCACTATTAAACAGCCCCAGAAAAAGATGTAACTAACAGAAGGATAAAATATAGGAATGTTAGTTTTGCTGTTTCTATGACTGACAGCCTTAGTATACTTACCTGACAATAAAGTCACTTTGGGCTGAGTGAAACTATCTCCAATTGAATATGTGTGAACATTCTTGGCAGAAGCTGATCCATATTCCAAATGATCACTTCTACTTTTTATACAAACAAGCTCTCATTCAGTTTAAAATGACAACCAGAGCATTCCAACCTTTTTTACTCAGAGAGAAAGGGGAAAAAAGAAAGAAAGAAAGAAAGAAAGAAAGAAAGAAAGAAAGAAAGAAAGGAAGGAGGGGAGGGAAGGAGGGAAGAAGGAAGGAAAGAGAAAGAAAGAAAGAAAGAAAGAAAGAAAGAAAGAAAGAAAGAAAGAAAAAAGAAAGAAAGAGGTAAATTTATAAATAAGGCTCAATCCATGGTTACTTCATGGAACTGTGCATGGAATTTCCTTGGCAGCAGTACAGTGGGTTGTCATTGACTTCTTCTGGGCACTGTTTTAAATAAACAATTCATTTGAGCAATATATGTATCAAAACACAAGATACAAAAGCTCCCATTTTCAGTTCCTGGTGCTTTCTTTCCTCTTTTTGCAGTAGAACAACTTTCCTCTCTTTGATTATTTTGCTCCATCCTCAGCCTCCCTGTCCACGTATAGGCTTTGAAAAGGATATCACACAAAAGATAAAATGCAGCAGAGTCTTTTGTGGTGTGGGAACTCCAGCTGGCCATTAAATAGCATGGCTTCATGCATATTCATTGATGAAAATTATTTATGAAGCAAATCAGGAGATGTTTTTAAGAAAACCAAATTATTTCAATTTATAGTTAATTAACACTCACTGCCTCCTCAGGCCTCGGATCAGGTCACAAAATTCCTTTATGTCAGGTTTTCTTTCTCCACCCACCCCAATTTTATTTATTTTAAAATAGGCAAATCAATAAATATAAATGTTAGAAAGGCTTAACAAATAATTTTAAAATTTTACACCGCATATTTTCTGGATTGCAATAGTATTCATGTATCTAATTATCAGGATAACAATACAGAACAGTATCAATTCATGTTGGTAAATAAACCTTAAGGCTTTAAGTTGTTGGCAGAAATATGTTCATGATGGGTATTATTATGAGAGAAATTGAGCAATCCTGCTTTATTGTTCATCCAATTAATCTAACGGGGTGGGTAACTATTTTTCAAATCCTTTCTGCTCTTGAGAACTATCTACCACTCTGTTGCTTGCTGCCATTTTTCAAGCTCTCAATATTTCTGCACTAGCTGTAGTTAACACAAATAAAATCATTATAAAGAATTTCAGGGTTGGATGTCTACAAACATTACAAATATGAATAATCTGTTATATTACTTCTGAAAGAGTTTAGTAAAAAAATTATTGAAAGGATGACAGTTTGGAATGGATACACCATATATGAATGAAAATGCCTTTCTCCTAGCATCCACTCTAATATGGGGATTGCTATTAAAATTATGGCTTCCATGTGTCAAGGCACTGTCACTGGTAAGCTGCAAAAAAGTCTTCCTTTATTTCAACAAAAGGATTCTTAACAGGGATGTCATTTAAAATTTCACCTAAAACAAATTAGTTTTAGATGAAATGACATTAATTATCTAATCAGAGTCCTGGTATAAATGTGATTGATGTATTCAAACAAATTTGGATGGCCATGTTTCTGGAATGCTTTACTTTGGATTCTGGAACTGAGCAGGAAGTTGGATTTGGTGACCTATGGCCTCTTCTATATCTATGATTCTACAATTCAGAAACTAATAGCTTATGTAGAGAAATAAAAATTACCTAGGAAATTTTCAATGGAAATCTGCATTCAAAGTGTTTATAACAGGAACCTATTTATACAAGAAGTGTGCAATCCTCATTTTTCACTGGCTGGGAAACATAAAGTGGATGTAGCCAGTCAGTACCACAGCAAGATATTTTGTTGTACAATTAACAGTGCTAGAAAAAAAGGCCTGCACATATTAAACTCAGGTTTAATATCCTCACTTCATGAGAAATTCATCTCAGAAAGGGAAGAAAGGAAGGACTAAGTTGCTTTATCTTTAAATATGAGGTAAATGAGATTCTTGTTTTTCAAAAGAGAGAACTGCCGAATAGCCCAGAATTGCTGGTCTAACTGAATAGCTTCTCTGAAAAGATTGCTTCTGGGAGTTGTGTTTTGCTTCTCCCACCCCCAAAATCATTGCCTCAAATGCTTAAGGCCAACGCTAGAATATGTATAATAGTCACGGATGTGCAATCAGCCTAGATCTGATTGAGTTGGCCCTTTGTACTAAATTGGAAACTGCTGGGAATGAGACAAGCAATGCCATCCAATTGGATATACCCAGTTTGTTGTAATCGCTTCACATACAACAATCATTTTAGATGGCAAGAAAAGGTAACAGCTGCCATATCACCTTTAATATGGAAGGAGAAAGCCTAAAATCAAGAATGCAGACTATCCTTTGTTCTATCCCTGAAATGTATTTCATTATTTTGGTTGCTTTCCACCCCATAAATTATCCCCCTGGGAAAATGTTGAACTGGTTTACAAGACTGTAACAAGAATACAGGATAAATTTCTTGCTCTTTGGAGTCTATTTTATCACCAGCTAAATGCACAGTGACTTCCACTGTGATGACTATTGTACAGAACAGGCTTGGAGACTCTGAAATTTTGTTCCCATTCTGGCCCAACTTCCAAGCTTGCCCATATATCCACTTTAGCTCATTATGACCTAAGTGTCTCTGATATAGTGCACCCAGGATGGTTGTTAGGGCTATATCTACTGCATAGATCAAGTGAACACATTGAACAAACAGATGGCGCCTGGATAAATCAAGGTGTTTTCTTTTTATACTTGATAGGTGAGCTGACAGTGCCATGATAGAAGGCACAAAAATAGCAACTGGCATTTGTTCTCAAAACTGTTCTGAGCAATTCTTCTTCTACCACACTGAAGGAAAATAAATTCCTTTCTTTGTTCATTTGCAGTGGATTTATGAAAGTGGTTTTCCTATTTGCTGCTATTGATATCAGACAAAGCAGCCTTTTGTGGCTCCTAGGCAAATTGTTTGTTTATTTGTTTAATATTTGAGAAATTATTTTTACACAATGTTCAAATATTTAGATTTCAGAATGCAATATTTAATTATAAAATGAATTTGAATCAATTATCTTGAAAAAGAAAATGTACAGATGCTTAATCTTTTTTCCTGAAAAAATATCTCCTTGATATATGCCCACGTGTATGTGTGAATATCATATGTACTAATAGTAAATTCCAGGCTTGTATAAAACAAATAACATCCTTTTGGGTGGGTGGGGGGATTTCAGGCTGTGAAAGTGAGAAGTAAATTTTGGCCGCATAATGTTGAGTGATGGCAAACAGGTAATGGCACAAGCAGGGACTGTGATGAAATACCATGATTCTGGAAAGAGAAAAGGATGTTCTGCTAGCTTGCTGAATTCAAAAAGTAACAGAACATTCTAAACTGCAGCATTTTGTCCTTCAGTTCTAGTTGTATTCTTTACCAACAGCACAATTAATGAAAGAGAAAAAAACATTTTAATTGTAACATAATCATTCTTCTCCTTCCTAGTGCTGTTCCTGAACTATGGCAGGATCCGCTTAATTGTAACATAACCATTAAACCTTCTAAAAAAGCTAAGGTACTTTAATAAAATATGTGGAATCCAACACATGGGACAAAATTCATATATCTAGAACAGTATTTTTCTCAAGCTGTGCCTTCATCAAATAATTTTTTGATTCTGCCAATATTACAGGTATTTTCAATTGGAGCAACGGGAGGGATGTAAAGATCAGAGATTTTGAAATTTTAGCTTAAACATGTTGAAATCTAGACAAATTAAAATAAATGAGAGGGGGAAGAGAAAAAAACCTTGATTTAAAGTTCATTTATAAGTAGGCTGTATTGTATGCATTACAAACCTTCAGTAGTTCAGATGTATGTGCAGTATTGTATCCTTGGATGCTAAAGACTGTGTTAAATCCATTTTGCTTCTTTGTTTGATCACAAAGAGTTAGTACTTTTATAAAAGGTTAAGGTAAAAGCAGACAAATGCCATTTGGTGATGAAAAATTGAGTGTCATTCTACAATTCTTATCATTGGGAAAACTATGAAATAAATTTTGTAGAATGTATTCACTGTATAAAAAATGAGATTGTTCCAATGACAATTGGAAATTTGCAATTGCAAATTGCAAATTTGGCTTAGATACTTTTCTCTTTACTTAATAAACAGATTTTAAAAAAAATTAAAGTGAGCTTGCAAAATGAAACTGCCTTCTATTAATGCTGATTTACCTGTAAAATACTAAACAACTGAGAACAGAGATGAGATCTGACTCAAATGAATCTAACAAATTAATTAACAAGACGTTCAATTTGATTTTTTTGATCAAGTGGGGGTAAATGTTGGAAGCCAGAAGACTATCCCCATCATCTGCACATTTTGCTAGTGTCCTTGTTGTAGAACATGATCAGGCAGAGTGGATAAATCTTGTTCATCAAAATAAACATATATATTACACAAATCAAAGTACTTATCTGAGATGCTTTAACCAGCTTAAAACAAAACAACACTTTTATTCATAATGAATGTATAGAGGTAGATTTAATGAATCACTACAAAATTGTTTTTCTATTTTTTTATTATATGACTACTTACCATCTGAACTGCAATTGCTATCAGATGGTTCTGTTCCAACAATTAATATGTTAGCATTTGACAGCACTCTTCAGGTGCCTGAAAGGATATAACACAAAGAAAGTTGAAATATGTTCTCTATCATCCCAAACCACAGATCATATACTAACTGCTTCCAACTGAGCTTTAAGAAAACCTTTAAAAGTAAAAACAGATTGCCAAATGAACTATTACTAAGGGAGAGGGTAGGCTTTCCTTCCTGTGTTCAAACAGAGACTAGAAAACTATCTATCAGAGATGCTTTAATTTGGATTCCTGTACAGAGCAGTGGGTTGGAACCAAGAGCTAAATAACGTTTTCCAGGACTATGATGAGGAAGGTTGGCCCATCAATTGTAGCAACAGAATTGCACATGCAAGAGGAACAAAGGACATCCTTTCCTTTCCTGCTTTAGTGGTTAGGGAAAAAAAGAGTCAATCCACTACTATATCTTTCTTCACAAAAGAAGAAAAAAGGGTGAAATCTGAGTATAAATTGTCACATTGTTTACTTATAAAGAGAGGAAAGTTGTTGGCCAGGAGGCAATGAAAGATGGAGTTGAAGGTTTTCATGGTTTGTGTAAACTAGAATATTCTAGACTTGGCCCTTATTCTTAATACATGTATTTACAATATATCAGTTAGAAAATTTTATGAAAGAGAAATGTGTTTGAAAGAACCACTGTTTCATTATATAAGTCCATAGTGCAAGGCATTTGTGTCCTTTAGTTGGGGAAATTTGATGAAGCAGTATCACTAGAGTCAGATGAGACATAACAGAGTTTTCCAGTGTTGGATTTTTGAAGCAATGGATAAAAGTGCAACTGTGTGGCTTCCTACTGCCAATAACTGATAGATTATTTTACAGCAGCTGAATGCCCCTATCCATCTTATTCAGGACTAAATTGCAGCATCCAAGGCATCTTTCTTCTGCATGTTTCCAACTAATACAGTCCAGAGCTTTCAAAATTAATTATCTCTTATTCATTAAACATGAAACTCAGCCAACTGAACATTTAAAGATGTATCACAAATATTATTGACTGGCACTGATGGTTGATACGGGTTGCTGCCATCATCCTAGGTATCGACCAAGTATCTTCGTAAAATGTATGATGTTCCAAGTAACACAGTTTTTTGAAGTTCCGCTGGTGCATGAATCTGCAATTTCTTGATGTATTATTATTATTATTATTATTATTATTATTATTATTATTATTATTAATAATAATAATAATAATAATAATAATAATATAATGATATCATATCGTATTATTTTGGATAGAAAGTTGTACTTGGATCTTCTATCTTATGCTACAATTAATGTTTTCCATGGGAAAAGCTTGAACTGTCCTTTTGAAATTGGCACTTGATATTTTCCAGTAGCCACAGCAGAGGCCCAGATAATACAATAAATGAAAAACCAGCCTTGGATACATACTGATATGGAATAAACAACTCATACGTAGAACAGACATATATAACATAAATATGAAGTACAAATAGATAAATATTCTCCAAGGGATTAGTGACTATACTAGGACACAGCACAAGATTGGGTAAGAAGTCTAATAAATAAGATATCTTTGTTTGAGAAGATGGGTTGGGATAAAGTTTCATATTTTCCTTTAAAAATAAAATGACTAAGAAGACATTATTTTGACTCCCTTATCTACATTATTCACACCACTGAGTTTATGTAAAGAAGAATTGTGACTATTACTCAGAGGCCCATCCTTTTTTCAGTGATACATGATGATACAATGATACATGATATATTATCATGATGCTTATCTGAGCAGTCTAGAAAATAAGATTCAGAAATGTTATTCAAAATAGCTTGTTAATGTGGGATTTAGAAATTAGGAGTGCTGTTAATTTTTTTCAAAAAGTAGGACATTTAAAGGAATATTTATTATTTATTTATTTTATTTATTTATTTATTAGAATTTGTCAAACAAAAACAAGAACAAAAAGAAAAGAAAAAATGCAATGACAGGAACGATAGGCACAATAGTGCACTTATGCACGCCCTCTCTACTTACCACTTAAGTATGAAGTAAGGTCCATGGAAGTCAATTTGTGACTGAAACTGTGAAAAATTGTAGTTGAGATAACTGGATCAGATAGGGCATTCCAGACTTTGACAACTCTATTACAGAAATCATATTTTTTACAGTCAAGCTTAGAACAATTTACATTGAGTTTAAAGCAGTTGTTCATGCATGTATTATTGCGATTAAAACAGAAAAAGTGATTTACAGATAAAGCATTACTATGTATAATTTTGTATGCAATACCTAGGTCTGACTGCAAGTGATGCAGTTCCAAGTTATCCAAACCGAGAATTTCGAGCCTAGTAGCATAGAGAATTCTATTATGTACAGAAGAGTGCAAAACATTTTTCGTGAAATACTTCTGAACCCGCTCGATTGTACTGATGTCAGATATATGGGGGGATTCAAAACAGTTGAACAATACTCTAACATTGGTCTAGGATAAGTTTTATAAACTCTAATTAGCAATACAATGTTTCCAGAAAAAAAGCTTTGCCATATTAAATTTACAATTCTTAATGCTTTTTTAGCAATGCTGTTACAGTGAACTTTGGGATATACCATATTTTTCGGTATATAAGACGCACTAGAGTATAAGACGCACCTTAATTTTGGGGGAGGAAAACAAGGAAAAAAGTATTCTACCTCTGCCTACCAGCATTTAAGGTGGTGCCGCCCTCCTCCTCCTCCTGCAAGCGAGAGGTGCAGGGACTACTCACTTTCCCCCAAAGAGACCCCTCGCATGCTCTGGGACGAGGAACAGAGCACACCCTGAGGAACAACCCTCTTTGGGACGGTCTGGGGGGCGGAATCGAGAGAACATCTCGCAGGCCAGACCGGTCCGGCCGCCACGCCCGAAAGTCTTGGGGAGGCAGGGCAGAGTTGCCCCCCCCCCAGCGTTTTGCAGAAAGTTTAGCAGGCGCTTTACGGAGAAGTTCCTGGGCCCTGCTGCCCCCCATCCCAGGCACCGGGGGGGGCATCTCTGGTCCTCAGGGGAGGGGACGTGCGGCTCTTGCATCATTCAATCCCCCCACCTGGCTTCGTGCCTGCACGGCCGCCCCCAGGAAACTGGGACCCCTGCCCAGTGGGTCCTTCACAGCGACAGATGTGCCGAGCAGATCCGGCCCGACCTCAGGCAGCTCTCCCCACCGGCTGGCCGGCCCTCCTGCCACCCACCCGGAAGGCAAGTGCCCCGCCGCACGGGCTTCTCTGGGCCAAGCGGGCAGCGCTGAACCAAGCTGCGGGGCTCTTTGGGAGTGGCAGTGCTGGGCGACACATGCCCGGATTGGAGGCCGCCCTCTGCCCTGCCCTACCTGGGGCTCTTGATCCAGGCCGCCTTCCGAATGCTGGGTGCTCTGCTCTGGCTGCGGCGGGCAGGCGGCGCTCCTTCAAGGCGAAGCGCGGGCGAGGCGGCTCTGCCCGGAGCCTCGCAGGGTGCCGCTGCCAGGAAAGGAGTGCCCCGGCAGGGCCCAGGAGCCGTCCTCCCCCGGATCCTTGACCCGTCTGGCTCCTTGGCTTGCTCGAGCTGCTGAGGCTGCAGCTCCAAGGCCGAAGATGAGCTCTGCGTTGCCCGAAGGCACCCAGGGAGTCTGGCTTGTGCCGAAGCAAAGCCCAGCTGAGCACTGGAGGGGTTGGGGCTGGGGGCCGGTCTGCATTGGGACTCAACATGAAGGCCTTTGCCAGCCTACAACAGGCAGGCACCTGTTCCCTTTGGTTTCCTGCCACCTGAAAGTGCTTTAAAGCCCGAAAATGGCCGATGGGTGGGGTCTGGTGGGTGGGCAGGGCTACATTCAGCATATAAGATGCACCCAGATTTTCACCCCCTTTTTGGGGGGTAAAAAGGTGCGTCTTATACACCAAAAAATACGGTTGGTCTTCAGAGATAAGTACACCTAGGTTCTTGACAAAGTGAGGGTCATCTGCTAGATTAATGCCACCTAGCTTATACTTGACATTCTGATTATGTTTACTACGTACATTCAGCATATAAGATGCACCCAGATTTTCACCTTTAAAAAGGTGCGTCTTATACATACGTGGTCTTCAGAGATAAGTACACCTAGGTTCTTGACAAAGTGAGGGTCATCTGCTAGATTAATGCCACCTAGTTTATACTTGACATTCTGATTATGTTTACCAATACGTAAGACGGAACATTTATTTATCAAATTTGAAATTGCCAAATAGATGACTATTCAGACACATAGTCGAGATCACTTTGCAAAACAACAGAATTATCTGTATTATTGAATAATTTTCCATCATCGGCAAAAATAACGCAGTTGCTTTTAAGTTGATCACATAAATCATTTATATAGAGCAAGAAAAGTGTGGTACCTAAAACACTGCTTTGCACAACACCACTGTTAACTGATGCAGGATTAGACAGTGAGGTCCTTATTTTGACTTTCTGCAATCTATTAGACAGGAAAGCAGCAATCCACTTGTGCAAAGATCCAGAAATGCCATAAGAGTTTAATTTCAACAGCAGTTTATCATGTACTACTGCATCAAAAGCCTTACAAAAACCTATGTAAATTGCATCTACAGCTTTACCTTGATCATGACATATAGTCCAGATGTTTTTACAGTGCAAAAGTTGTAAATTACAGGACGAGTTTTTCCTAAAGCCAAACTGTTTGTTGGATAGCAAGTTGTTTGTCTCTAAGTACTGAACAATGTATTAGGTTATAATTGATCCCATAACTTTGCATGTAACACAGCACAAAAAGATTGGTCTATAATTTTAAACTGAACTAGGATCACCCATATTACATATGGAGCTTGCAAATCTAAGGAACATCATTTGAGTTTTGATGTATCTCATATGTTGGGACATATGTGTAATGCATGTACACTGTGATTTAGGCACACAAATACAAATTAATCTATAACAGAATCATTTGCATTCCTCTTAACAACTTTGCTGTTGTTATTTCATTACTCTTTCCCCTGATGCTCATAATCAATTTTTCCAGAAATAACTTTTAGATGCAAAGAAATGAATAGAAGGAAACCAAAAGGGAGAATAAACAATCTTGCTTTGTCTGTCAGCATTGTGAGATTTAAAAAAAAAACAAAACAGATGTCTTATCACTAGGGAGTTGTTATATCATTGGATGTGACTAAAATGCTTTAAAATATCTGGCTATGTTTTTAATCAGCCTACATTTTAAAGCCTTAAAGTACAAATATGGATTTTAAGTATGTCAAGGGAATAAATTAACTCCAATAAATGGCTATTCTTTCTAAGATTGCACCTGCCATGAAATTGCTCCAAGTTTGCATTTCCCATTCTAGTCTCCAGTGTGTCATTAGAGCAGATTGATCTCCATCATCTCTCTAGCAGTTTCCCATTAGATGGTTTTTATATGGAAATTAACGGAAGGCTGAAAACATTGCTTTCTGAGCTGCAATAGTGGAAGTCATTTTTGATTAAGCATTTGAAAGCTCCCAGACTGGAGTGATCTCTTTGCTTTAGTTCCTCCCTTGTATTAACACCAGTGTCAAGTTTTGTTGAAGCAGTTTTTTTTGTTTTGTTTTGTTTTGACCACCATCTCATTTACTTCTAACAGGAATCTCATTCAAAGGTGCCTCATTTTATTTTTACTTTAAGTCCTGTTCTCTTACCTACCAAAACCTGAACTGATCTAGATAATTCAAAAATAGTTGAAGCATTTTCCTCCTTTGCATCTACTGCCTGGACTTATATCTGTAACAACTTACTGGGCAGTTCCTCATACTATATACAGAATCACATGGATTTTGCAATCTATGTATATGAAGGCAAATATGGACATTACTCAGAATTCCACTTTTGCCCCCTGATCATTGCTATACTTCAATCTTTCCAATTAGAATAGTGTTTTCTGTAGTAAACTAGAAACATGTTGAAGTTGTAGCTCTCAACCTAATTTCATGCACCCTTGGCCGTTTGCTCAACTCCCTCTGCATTTTATATACTTTTGAGTAGAGTGATTTGTTTCTTTCATTTTAGTTGACTGAGAAGGGTGGATTATGGTGGACGTGGGAAGAATAGAAGAAAAAGGGGTGGGAGACAGAGAAAGAAAGAAAAGTGGGAAGAGAGAGAAAAAAGTAGCATATTATCTCCAGCAGAATTTGCCCTTGTCAGGGGAAATATTCCTACTATTACATAGAACTAATACTTTAACTCTAATGTTCTAATTTTTATACACTGTTTTATACACTCATGCTTTATTGTACACCATCTAGAGTCTCTCTTTGAGGGAGATGGGAGGTTCATAAATGTGATAAATGTGATAAACAAACAAACAAACAAACAAATAAATAGAAATAATGATTGTTACATGTATTTTCCACAATCACTTTTTCATCCATGCTCCTATGGCTATCTGAAGATGTTCCCAAGTGAACCAAAAGAAAGTGTGCATCCATCACCTGTGATTGTTGCCATGATTTCAATAGCCTTCACTCTGGGATATTCTGAACTTTCTCAAAATAAGACAATGTAATAGTATATGGGAATGACCTTGGGAGATAGTTAGGAAGCAGTCTAAAAAGAGCAGCATAGTCTGCAGGTAGGGGGAAACCAAGGGAAACACTTCAGAAGGAACCTTCCCTAGTTTTCTGGAGGCTAAAAAGTAAGTGGAAAAGAAATACTTTTGGTCTTGCAAGATTCTATTAATATAAACTTACAATAAAGTAGGATTAGTTCATCTGGGTATGAACTTCTTGTCTGGACTATGTTTCAAATCTGACAGAACCTGAGAGGAAATTTATTCATTCCTGAAGCTTTTCCTCATGATACATCATCTACAAACTTTGTTAATTACAGGACATGAAGACTGCAGAGAAGAAAACTTTATACAAACAAGAGGTGGTTAACAAGGTGTCCATTGACATATCTGAGTATGGTATGTCCATAGTATTTTAGAATAGTGGAACATTAGGACATTTTTTAGAATGAATAATGCTAGATGTTCTCCTAAACCTAATGCCCACTAATTTCCAAATTATATTGTAGCTGGGACAACTTTCCCTTGTAACTTCATGGTACTTGTTTCTGGGAATACCAACACAATGCCAACATCAGGTGCTTACTGCAATTCATCCA